TGTGTGTGTGTGTGTGTGTGTGTCTGTTTTGTTTCTTTGTTTTTTAGTGCATGTTTAAAAAGTATACAGATGCATTCAATAAATGTTATCACCGAACAGAAGAATTGCAATTATATTCAAGGGGGGAAAAAACAGAAAACATGATCATGAAAAAAAAAGCATGATAAGCCAGCTGAAATAAAAGTACAAGAGAGAAGCAAACAGAGTTTTTTTTTTTATGAACAATTCCCATGGCACATGTGCAGGGTAGTCTGGGTCAGTGTTGGGGGTAACGCATTACAAGTAATGCAAGATACGTAATCAGATTACTTTTTTCAAGTAACTAGTAAAGTAACGCATGTCTTTTATGTATTTAATCCCATTCTATTAACCAATGTCTTTGCTTCTGACCTTCGATGATCCAGTTCAACCATACTAATAAGCAAAAATTACTCTAGACAAACATTTGTGTGTTTTTTTATTGCTGAAGTGTGTTGAAATTTCTTCTTCTGCATTCTACTGTAGGGACGTAAATTTACTTTCCCTTCAGCCTGAGGCTTATTCATTTAACTTTTGGTTTGAAAAGGCTTTTATATTTGCCAAAAATATAACTTTTCTTATTTTAAAAACAAACAAGCAAGCCCTGTGCAGATTTAAAAAGTAACTCAAAAGTAACATAATGCATTACTTTCCATAAAAAGTAACTAAGTAACGTAATTAGTTACTTTTTTATGGAGTAAGGCAATATTGTAATGCATTACTTTTAAAAGTAACTTTCCCCAACACTGGTCTGGGTTTTGTCTGGAAAACAATAGAGTAGAAAGGTATTTTCCTTTCAGATCAGATTTCACAACAGACATTTTCCAGTCTAAAATCGCCCGTGTAGATCACTCCATCACATGTGCTGTTGCATTAAGTACAAACAGTGCTGTTGATATTTTTTTCCCCATAACCTCAGTCAGTTTTGTTAACTGTTATATACTCTCATTAAAAGTTGTTTCATTGTTCTTTTATTTACTGTATGGTTCATTTGTAAGTTAAACACTCATTTTCTCTCCCTCTGAAAAATTAGCTCTGTTATAAAAAGCATCATAATATAGCTGCACTGTAGACATGAAGCTGTCAGAATGCATTGCAGTGAGCTCAGTGAAAACTGAAAAGATGGAGGACAAAGTCGAGATGAATGCTTTCAATATGTGTGTGTGTGTGTGTGTGTGTGTGTGTGTGTGTGTGTGTGTGTGTGTGTGTGTGTGTGTAAAAAAGAGAGTAAAGACATTTATAATGTTAAAGATTTCTATTTCAAATAAGCTGTTCATCTAAATTTTCGGTTTATCTAAGAATCCTAAAAAATGTATCATGATTTCCAAAAAAAAAAGAGCAGCACAACTACTTTCAAATTATAACAATAAGAAACATTTCTTGAGCACCAACTCAGCATGTTAGAATTATTTCTGAAGGATCATGAGACACTGAAGACAACTTTTCCATCACAGAATACATGTAAAATATAGAAAGCAGTTATTAAATTGTAATAATATTTCACAATTTTGCTGTTTTACTGTATTTTTGATCAAATAAATATAGTAAGAATTAGAGACTTCTTTCAAAAACATTAACTACTCTCAGCAACCCCAAACTTCTGAAATATAGTGTATGGTATCATTTGAGTATTGCATTATTAGCTTAGTAACATCAAACTCTTTTGAAATCAATTGTGAGTTTTTCTTGTGTGCTTCATGTGAAGAATTATATTTTTATGGTTCACAAAATTGCTCTCTATGTATAGTACAAGTAATCATTTATGAGCAAACCCACATGGAATCTGCACAAATTTCAAATAGCCAGCTTATTAGAACAGAGCTTTTGTCTCATGTAGCACCACATATCCATTCCACTGTAATCTTATATGTATTAATTTCCTCACAGGCAATAGTGGACACAAGAAAGACCATGAGAGCCCTTCTACAGCACGTGGAGACTTTCCAGCCCAAAATGGTTAAAGTTGCAGGGTGAGATCAGAGGAATTACTTTAAACCAATGTAAGAGAATAAGCAGCCTGAGAACACATCTACAAATCTAGAGGGGCAGATCATGACATTTTAATCATTTTGAATGAGATCTAATGGGGATTAAGGGTGTTTCGTTAGCAATGTTAATGTGTTCCTGTGTCTCTTCGCTCAGGCTGCTGGTGAAGAGGGTTCCTCACGGGGCGGCAGAGCTCCCAGACTGAGTGCTCAAGGGTGCTCAAACATTACTTCTGGCCTGCAGAAATGGGCCGTAATGAATCACAATATCACACAGGGAATAGAGTGATTATTTGAACATGACTGTGATTACTGTGATCTGGTTATTTATGTTTTTCTGCAGATGTTGAATTTGTCATTCCTAATCGTTTTGTGGTGGGTTACGCTCTGGACTACAACGAGTACTTCCGAGACCTCAATGTAAGATCACGTCTATTTTTAAAATAAATAAAACAGCAACAAAGACAATAACTGACGAACTGAAGAGAACCATAAGGCTAGATATATACAGAGGTAAATGAGGAACTCAACAAGACACAGGTGAACACAATCAGAAACCATGTAAACATAATTAGTAACTATGGAAACAAACTCAAACCCAGGGAGAAAACACAGGCAGAGAGAATAGAAACCATGGAACATAAATATCTTTCAAAGTATTCTTAAGACCCAGTTTCACCAAGGATGATCGCTTTAATGACAATGAAAACTAGGCTATAAGGTTTTAATTATTGTTCTAATTCTATGAGAATAGGGAAGTCCAAATCACAGCTATAACAACAACACAGGAATGCTATAATTTGAATAATTTTCAAAATGATTTCTTTTTTCAGCTGAAGAACAATAAAAGCACAGACAGCCATTCAGAATCCACTTGACTTTAAAGAGCTTGATAATTTAAAATGGCAGTGTACGCTTATAATAAACAGAATGGTATAGTGTGTTGGTGTGGATGCCAATATAATTAATCATTGTATTTATTACAGTTACCGTTCTTGGTGTGAACAGGCCTCTAAACAGGTATAGCATGGCACTTATTTCCAGTGTTGGGGAAAGTTACTTTTATTTTTTTATTACAATATTGCATTACTCCATAAAAAAGTAACTAATTACGTTACTTAGTTACTTTTTATGGAAAGTAATGCGTTACGTTACTTTTGCATTACTTTTTAAATTTGACTACAATAACATCTTCTGATTTCTCTCATCATGGACACAGAAGAGCTATCAATCAATAAATTGGGAAAAAAAAGTAACTTGCGTTACTTATTTGAAAAAGTAACTCAGATATTCTCTTGTAAATTAAAAAGTAATGCGTTACTTTACTAGTTACTTGAAAAAAAGTAATCTGATTACGTAACTCGCGTTACTTGTAATGCGTTACCCCCAACACTGCTTATTTCTGGAGCCACAGGAAAAACACACTCTAATGACAATTCATAACATGATTTTTTTACATTTTAATTTTTTTTTGTGAATTGGTGGCTAATTTATATGAATTTGTACAATTTCATTCATACTTTTTTTTACCATCAGCTTATGCCGCACTGTAGGTGGAGGGATGGACCTTCATGCTTACTTTTTTTCTATAAATCGCCTCCTCGTAAAATAAGTTCAGATGGTGTAGTTATGGCATTTACCAGTTGGGCCAAACTTTTACCCCTTGGAGTAGCCCAACCTTACAACATTGGCTGAATTTGGGGCAGGACTAAATTCAAATGCATCAAAATACAGCACAACCAACAACCTGAAATTATAGCCAGTAACTAAAAAAATAAATAAAATAAAATAAAATGAAAACAGAAAAGGTTTAAAGCTGCATAAAAAGGCCTACCAACCTCAAAGCTCATCATACAATATTATATAAGAGATGAATCTCACAGTCATACCTGCAGCTTGAATGTCATCACTGAGCATTGAGCGGGACTTGGTGAACATCCAGATGAAATCTGGCATACAGCACAGCATTCATCTTTCCTAGAAAACTCTAATCAGCCTCACACATCATGTGTAAAAGTCCCTCCTACAGCTGTAAATGTGATGGAAAACATCTTTCTGTACACTGCTCACAAGCAGAAGCAAACATACTTCTACAGCTTTATTTTCTGCTTTATTTATCGCTTGACTCACGTAAGTGATTTCTTCCCCTTCACAGCACATCTGCGTCATCAGTGAGACGGGGAAACAGACATATAAAGTGTGACAAAACTCCTTTCAAGAGGAATGGACATTTATATTACCATAACAGATGAAAACTTTGTTGTGTCAAACGATTACTGTAACTGACATGCTGTATTATGTTTGAAATATAATATAATATGTTTTGCATGTAAGTCACATCGCAATACTAACGTGACATGATGTGGAAAACATACTTACTGTGTGTCATTTTATATGCTGTATCAGTTTAAGAGCCCAGCTGTTCATTTTTGTACTTTTAGAAGACATTTGTTTGAGAGACCATCCATGCCACTGAGGACATCTCATGCTTGTGGGTTTAATGATAACAACTCTTTTTCATTCTCTTGTTTTTTTTTTTTGTTTTTTTAAATGTCTGACATTGCAATAGCTTCTTTAAATACATTTTCAGTGATTTCTTCAATGTCCTTTGTAATAGACATCAGGGTGTAGCAGACATACTTCATCTGTTGAGGAGACATTACAGATCAATAGTATAAGTTTTACATCCATCCATTCTCTAAACTGTTTGTCCTATGAAGGGTTGCATGGATACTGGAGTCTATCCCAGCGTTTTGGCCTTAAAAAACATGTTAATATAAAAAAACAGACAGTGTATACACTGATCATATTAAAACCACTGACAGGTGAAGTGAATAACGGCAAGGCAAAGGCAAGCCAGTCTGGTTCATTCACTCAGAAGGGCTACTGTACTTTAAATTGTTGAAAAACTTAGTGCTGGCAATAATAGAAAAATGTCAGAACACACAGTGCATCGCAGTTTACTGCGTATGGGTCTGTATGGCCACAGACCGGTCAGAGGGCCCATGATGACCCCTGTCCACCACTGGAAGTACCTACAATGAGCAAGTGAGTGACAGAACTGGACCATGAAGCAATGATAGAAGGTTGCCTGGTCACTGATCACTCTTTCTTTTAGATCTGGTAGATGGTCGGGTGCATTGCATTGTTTATCTGGGGAAGAGATGGCAGCAGGATGCACTATGGGACTATAGGATGAAGGCAGACAGACAGAGGCAAGTACACCCCTTCATGACAATGGTGTTCTCTGATGGCAGTGGCCTTTTTCAGCAGGATAATGCACCCTGCCACACTGCAAATATTGTTCAGAAATGGTTTGAGGGACATGATGAAGAGTTCAAGGTGTTGCCTTGGCTTCCAAATTGCCCAGATCTCAATCTGATGGAGTATCTATGGGATGTGTTGGACCAACAAATCCGATCCATGGATGCCCCACCTTTCAGCTTACATGACTTAAAGGATCTGCTGCTAATATCTTGGTGCTAGATAGTACAGGACGACTTCAGTGGTCTTGTGGAGTCCATGCCTCGATGCATCAAAGCTGTATTACACAATAATAGGCAGGTGGTTTCAATATTGTGGCTGGTCAGTGTATAAAATTGATAACACCCAAAGTCATCAGATCACTGTTTATCTCACACTGCACGACTGTCTGGGGTACCATTTAGCTGCTGTTGTGTGCACACTACACAACAGATCAACTAGAAGAGGGTCACACATTATACAACTTTTCAATAGGAAGAATCACCATTAAGACTGTCTGGTCTACAAACTACATCTCACAACCTAACACAGACGAGAAATGATACAGGGAATAATGTAAGACTGCATTTCTTAGAAAACGAGAAAATATGAAGGAGAGAATGGTTGCTTGTTGATGTTCTGTTGCAGGTCTATTATGACTCCTCCCCCTGGACTTTCTCTTGCCCTGTATCTTGCTCTCTCATTGGCTGTAGGTCGTCGCCAATGTCATTTTCAATCAAAACACATTTCACACTGCAGGACTCTGAGTCGCAGACAGGTTCAGATATTTAGCATGCTAAATATCTCAGGGGCATCGGCGACGAATCGTCGCTTCTCTCTGATTGTGTCTTTGATAACACACACTAGCCTACGTGATTGTCACACACGTGAATGAGCACCGATTTGCCTCCAACTTTAGGCATTTGTCGGTGATTTCCAGAAAACAGCAAGTGGAAATCGTGTGTCGCCTTAAACCTAAAAACTGATAAATGCCTTGATTGTCTTGCCTTGTTTTCTTTATAACCGAGTCCTGATGTCTTCTACAGAGGACATACAATATAAAATATAAAAAATAATAATGACAAACAAACAAAAAAAACACTTGTTCTGTTGGGTTCCAGAAGAATGTATTTGCTCACTATAAAGGGGCGCTAAATAAGGAACATCTGAAAAGCCCTGAATAAAGATGATTTATTAGAAATTGCTATTGAAACTTTGGATGTCCCTATTTTCCCAGTGTTTTGCCTGGGGTTTGACCTCTTTGTCAGTGGACAACCAAACAAAACCAACATGAGGGCTTGATTTCCTTTACAACCTGCTGTGGTTATCTCACATCTCAGACAAGCAATTAATTCACTGGAAATTTACTACGCTAATACAGAACTCAAAGCTGATGTTCCCTGAGAATCCTGAAAAAAAAAAAAACGAATTTCTTCTCATCTGCTTTGGATCTGCTGTCTTGCAGGCAATCCGCTTGAAAAGTCTAGCTCTTGAATTCAAGTAATAAGTAAGCAAAAAATTACGCTAACTCCTCCAAGGGCATTAGATAAAACAACCCAAGGCGACCTTACAATGATTCTTCTTATACATGACATTATATTTATAACTATTTGCACAAATCCACTATCAAAAAAATGACTTTCTAAATGTTCTTTGAGTCTGGTTATAATATTGTCCTGCACGGTTGGTTTAAAGTGTCGAGTGAGAGCTGTTTGTGCCTCACACCGAGCTTTCCATGACTCAGTCTGGGCGCCAGCCGGGTACAAATGCCAACAGCCGCCATCTACCATCAGTTACTGCACCTCATGGCTGGAGAATGCAGTGCTGCACTGAAAACACAAAACGTTTTATTTCATTAGATCAGTCAGTGGGTCACAACAATGCATGAAGATAGTGCATTATCATTTGTTTTACAAAAGACTGAGGCTTATTTGCATTTAAAGATCCCATTAAATCAGGGGTGGCCAAACTCGGTCCTGGAGGGCCGGTGTCCTGCAGAGTTTAGCTCCAACTTGCCTCAACACACCTGCCTTTAAGTTTCTAGTATGCCTATAAGAGCTTGATTAGCTGGTTCAGGTGTGTTTAATTGGGGCTGGAGCTAAACTCTTCAGGACACCGGCCCTCCAGGACTGAGTTTGGACACCCCTGCATTAAATGGTCTGACAAAAGCATTTTTCTGTTGTGTATTTCCAAATGCTAAGTCCTTTTGCAGACAATTTGCAGGCCTGTGTGACTCTTACTCTTATATTTTTCTGAAAGAGCATCAGTTTACATTTTTTAGACTTAGCTGTGCTCGGTGAGGGATTAAAAATGATTTCTAATTATATCAACCTTACACGAAACAAAAATATATGGGAATATACTTGAAAATATAATGCAATATATTAAATAAAACGTTTCCATATATGGGAAACTAGTGTTTAATATACACACGCACCATGTATGGTTATAGATACATATAGACATATATAGCAATGAAGACAAAAAACTTCTCTACATTTTTTATAAAACAAGAAAAAACGTGTTTACTGAAAACAATTTAGACAATTGGATGTCTTGTTAAAGTCATGGCAACATGAGTATAATATGACTTAAAAGATTGTGTGTTATATATATTAAATCTATCTATCTATGGATCTATGGTTTTTTCGTAATTGTATTGCACATACATAGTACATATATTCTCACAAACATGTGCGTGTGTGTCTATATAAAACACATAATAACATATTTTATCACATGAACATCTATATATTATAAAATTCTTTATTAAATATAAAATTACATACATTACATATTTTCCCTATGTATTACTCAATATATTTTTATATACTATTTACACAATAAATAATCAGTGTTGGGGAGATTACTTTGGAAATGTAATAGGTTACAGATTACAAGTTACCCTATTTAAAATGTAATGTAAGTAGTGTAACTATTTCAATCACTTTTTAAAAATAATGTAACTGATTACATTTGATCACTTTTCAAATTTCTAACACATGTTTTCAACTGTTAATCACATTCAAACATTTAGGGTTAACCTTACAGTAGGACACAACACTGATTACTGTCAGACTTTCAAAATGCTTCATCTCTTGAATTAAGATTATAATAATCTAATTTTAAAGCAAAGCACAGCCACCACAAAATCAGACTTTAGCACCTCTTTTTACTTTGAGATCGTTCTGAGGTTAAAAACAAAACCATAACAAGAAATAGTACATAACTAATACAAGAAGTATTCAGATATAATTCTGTAAATTTAGTATACATTCAATTATTTAATATATTGATTGTTAATATATAAGGAATATATTTTCTTTCTGTACAGGCTGAAAGCTAAGTCAGTAGGAAATCATGGAAGAGCAGGCCAAAGCAAAGTTCTTTATTGGTACGCTCACAGAAACAGTACACTGGGACTGGTTTATAGTTTTGAAAAGGGTTTAACATGCAGCTTAGTGCAGCTACTAAAAAAAAAAAAATAGAAGGAGAAGACGAAGTCAAATTTCAACCACACAATGTACAATGTATCATGTTGCTTTTCTATACAGTACAAGCTTGCAGGCCTCAGCATAGGTGTTATGGGCTAAATGCCCCTTATGTAAGTGAAGGATTAACAGAGCGCTCTTAGCTCTGGCTAGAGTATCCGATGTATAGCTATACAGATTACAGAGGAAGAAAATCCACCTCTTGTCCCCCTGAATAAAAAGGCATTTGGGGTCTATGTGACAGAACTGACAAAGTCACTCTTTGTTGGCTTTGCTGTGACTCGCTTGCTCTTATCAAACATCAGCACTTAGGAACGGTTAACTTACCTAGCCGATAAACCACACCTCTGTGGGAACCTGGCGGCCTCTCTCCCAGCAGCCTAAAACAAGATCCGCTGAATGACAGACAAAGAGATGGGTGAGTTTCTCATGCTGGGTCTCTGAGGTAAAACATCACCAGAGGAGCATG